TCCCAAGCCTCCCTGGGAGCGAAGGCTTCCTCAACCCTGTCTTGGAAGGTGGGTCGTTTCTTTGGCAGAAGGGAGAGGGCAGCGGCATTTCCTCTGAGAAGGATGGTTATGTAAGATGCAAGGAGGCGGAGAAAGCCAAGGAGGGGTTGGTGAGTCGGAGGAAAGCTGCAGGGCTTGGCTAGCGGTGGAGAAGCCTGAGCTGTTAACAAGGTAAGGACAGTTTTCTCTGTATACCTCCAAAGCTGGGCCACTACCCCACGGCCCCTGGAGCTGAGTGTCAGGCAACCTGGGACATCTACACTGGCATTTCAGTGACAGTGGCAAGGGAAGGGGGCTGACTCAGAATAACCTGTAGAATCTTCCAGAGAAAGCACAAGCTGCCTGCCAGTAGCTTCTCCATCCTTACACGACTCCATCCTTTAAAAGGGTCTAAAAGAGCCTAGAATGCCAGAGGGCTGTTTTGATGTGTATTTTGTAGCCAGTCCTCTGAAGCATCTAACTTGTTCAGGTCCTGGCTTCGGAGCCCCTGTGTACTTCCTGCAGCTTCTCCGTGCAGGTGCTTGGGAGTGGCAGACCGGAGGTGCAGGGAGCTGCAGGTGTTCTCTAACTTAGGTGAGGTGTAGTGTGATAATTAAACACTCTGGGACCTGGAACCCAAAATACCTGGGTTCTGATTCAGGCAGGGCTATTTTCATTATTGAATCAACTAATTAAAGTTCAGTTTACTTATTCTGAAAAAAAATGAGGATGTGGATCATCTCATACCTTGAAGATATCGTGGGTTTAGTTCAAGATCACAGCAATCAAGTGAGTCTCACATCACATCTTTTTTCCCCCCTCACTTGAGGATATTTTTTTTGTCAATTTATCTTCAGATAAAGTGGGAGGGAGGGAGAGAGAGAGAAACATAACGTGAGAGAGACATTGATTGGTTGCCTCCCACATGATCCCGACCAGGGCTGGGGACAGAACCGCAACCCAGGTGCATGCCCTTGACAGGAGTAGAACCCGGTGACCCTGTGGTCCACGGGATGACGTTCTGACCACTGAGCCGAACACGCCAAGGCTCAAGTCATAATCTTTTTACTGGTGGAGGTCTTGCCCTCAATTTGTAAAAAAAGCACAGTGTCTGTGAAGTGTAACAAAGCAACGTCTGATAAAATGCTATATGCCTGTATATCTAATTGGATTGTTGTCATGCCTATGGCTAGAAGAGCTTTCAAAGTTGAGGAGCACCATCCAGATAGAAAATAAGGAAAATAAGGCTGTTATGAGGCCAGCACATGTGCTAAGGTACAAGAGACCTCTGTCTTGTACAGCCTGAAACTTCTAACTAGGATTGAAATACTTTTATATGTGAAAAATATAAACATCTGGCCTCTGCCTTCCTTACCCAGGTCAATGAAAGCCCTTTACGCAGTAAAAAAATGCTTTACAAATGTTTGTTCATTCAGTCATTCATTCAATAGTGTTTCTTGAGCACCAACTATGTGCCAGGTACTGTCATTGACACTAGAGACATAGCAGCGGCAAGTCCCAGGTCCCATCCTCCCAGTGCTTTCAGTCTAGTAACAGCTAATTACCATATGGACACCCTTGGCCCAGATGCTCATCTCCACAGGTTTCCCTGGCCTATAGCTGTATGTCGGGGGTTGGTTTCCTCAACCCAGCTCTGCTCTATTTGTTCTATTCGTCTTTTATACAAATATCTTCTGCCATGTATAATTCCTGGTTGTAGAGGCATAATCTCACGAGAGAAATCTAAGTTAGAAATGTGTCAGTGGCTGGAATACAGGGCTCTTAAATTGATGTCTGTTTTTTCTGACTCTTCATTTTGTTTCTAAAAGCCTACACGGTACTGATTTGGGGGACATCTATAATTCAGCCCTCTGTAATCAGGCTGCTCAATGAGGTCTCCAGTCTTGGTCCCTGTGTGTGACATAGGTGCTATCCCTATGTCAAGACCCTAAAGTTCTCATAATGCTTCAATGATGGACTAGCCTCTGTGTGTCAAGATGATACCATTTGCCCAAGATTGGGACAACATTTTTTTTTTTTTGGATGATATCTTTAATGTTGAAGTATTATAGATATCCCTCCCCTTTATCCCCCATCCTGCTCCTGCCCCACCCCCACCCCTGCCTTCACCAAATTGTTGCCTGTGTTCATTGGTTATGCATATATGCATATAAGCTATTTGGTTTATCTCTTCCTGCCTTCCCCATCCCCCTTCCCTCTGAGGTTTGTCAGTCTGTTCCTGCTTCCATGTCTCAATTTGTTTTGAATATGTGTTTTTATTGATTTTTTAGAGAGGAAGGGAGAGAGAGAGAGAAACATGGATGTGAAAGAGAAACATTGATCGGCTGCCTCCTGCATGCCCGCTACTGGGGATCAAGCCTAAAACCTGGGCATGTGCCCTGACTGGGAATTGAACTGGGACCCCTCAGTCCATGGGACGACGTTCAATCCACTAAGCCACACCAGTCGGGCTCTGGATCTATTTTGATCATCAGCTTATTTTGTTCATGATACTCCAGAAATAAGTGAGATAGTGTGGTACTTGTCTTTCTCTGACTGGCTTATTTTGCTTAGCATACATAATACTCTCCAGATCCCTCCATGTTGTCTCAAAGGGTAAAAGATCTTTCTTACAGCTGCATAGTATTTCATTGTGTAAATGTACCACAGCTTTTTTATCCACTCATATCCTATCAGACACTTGGGCTGTTCCAGATCTTAACTATTGTAAATAACACTGCTATGTAAATTATTTGGGGTGGGGGGTGATGGGATGTGCTGAGGGTTTTTTCCTCCTTTTCCTAACTGAGCTGGTTGCAGCAGGGAAGTAATCTGAGTAGTCTGTTCCTCTGCCATGGGGATTTATTATCAATATTATTAGTAGTATTTAATCCTCACTCAGGATATTTTTCCATTGATTTTCAGATAGAGTGGCAGGAAAGGAGGGAAGAATAGAGAGAGAAAGAGAGAGAGAGAAACTTTGATGTGAGAGAGGCATATCAGTTGGTTGCTTCCCTCATGACCCCAGCCAGGGTCAGGGATCGAACCACAACCAAGGTACGTGCCCTGGACCAGAATCGAACACTTGATGCTCCAACTGCTGAGCCAAACCAGCCAGAGCTCTGCCATGGGGCTTTTATTTCTTATTAATAAATGTTTCTTAAAATAATGTTTATTTCCCCCCTAGTTTTAATTAATACATGTTCAGTGTAGAAACTATGTTTTTGGAGTGAGGTTAACTATGCCATATTGCATCAAACCTATGCCTCTGGCATATTTATTATGTTGCTCCATGCAATAGAGACAGTATTGGTTCTGTGCTCAATACTCAACGAAATCACTACATTTTAGTAACTGGTACTAAAGAGACATTTGTGTGCATTTTAGAAAAGACAAGTTTCCACTTCTGATGAATCTCATTCAGCTAGTTATCTGCTTTCGAGCAATAACTACACCTCTTCCCACAGTCAACTGTTTAGTTTATTTTTTAATTCAACAAGTATTTATTGAGCCCTAATCACTTGTAAGTTTTATGTACCTGTAAATAACATGAGACAACCTTTACCCTTAAGTTATAGCATCTACAGCTGTCTACTATAGAGTGAAAGACAGATGCTAACAACTAAATCTTAGAGGACAGAGATAACTTTCAGGGAGAAAGCTGATATGTGGGCAATCCTGAGGAAGGCATCTTGTAAATATCTCAGGACTTCTACATAACTGGGCAAGTTGGGAAGAACTGAAAGTGAAGTCTGGAGCCTATGGCACCAGGAAGGAGGGGAGTGACAGGAGCCCAAAGATTAGATCATGAAGGACCTTGGGCACAAGACTTGGGGATTTTGACTTAATCCTGTGTGTGTTGGAAAGTGTGGGAGAGGAAAAGTAATTTTTCCTTCTACCGTTTTAAGTTTTGGCTGAACTAATAATCAAATTAACATGAGACAGATTAACAGGAGAAAATGACCAAATTTTCATATGGGAGTTCCATAAGAGTATGAGAACTGAGGACAGATCGGGCAGTTAAGGCTTATACACCATCCTGAGCTAAGGAGAAGGAAGCAGGAAGTGTTGTGGTTAAGACTTCAAAGGGCAGGAAGGTGATTCACATAAAGTTGGAAAAGAAAACATTTTAGTAAATGAATGTTTGCTGGGACATCTTTTACAGTTGAGATATACAGAGAGGACCTTGATCATATCTAGTTTATACCAAACTGTAGTTATCTTATAATACAGGCTCCTTCCCTGGAGCAACGCCTTCTATCTACATACTTTGCAGTGGTTCTCACCCTTCCTGATGCCGCGACTCTTTAATGCAGTTCCTCATGTTGTGGTGACCCCCAACCATAAAATTATTTTCATTGCTACTTCATAACTGTGATTTTGCTACTGTTATGAATCACCATTGGAAATACGTGTTTTCCGATGGTCTTAGGCAACCCCTGTGAAAGGGTCGTTTGACCCCCAAAATGGTCGCGACCCACAGGTTGAGAACTGCTGAGTTAGGGGAAAAGCTAAAAATCCTTTTTGAGTCTTTTGTTTCTTAAAAATATCCAGCTTAAAGTAAACAATATCCCAAAAGGCATAACTTGGGTTGGTAAACTCTGCTTTCTCCCAAAAGTTATTGAACAATTTTAAGGAGGGGAGTGTGTGTCACCAGGGTGCCAGGGTGGAGCTGTCCCCCTACATTGTTGAAATATGGCCGAGTTCAGCCATTTTTGGTAGCTCAATGGACAAGAAAGATCAGGAGAGAGGAGGTAAAGAGCCTAAAATAAAGAGAACATACAAACTGCAAGAAACAGGAATTGACTCTGAGGAGGATCTGTGCAGTTGGTTGCAAGAAGGCTCCAGCTTTCTGCATTGCTCATCAGGGGGGGTCAGGGAGAAGGAGGCTTTGGCTAGGAAGGGGATAGAGGACAGACACCAAGAACAAAACAGCCCAACACAGCCCCTCTGCTTGTTTCTTAAAGGTCTTCCACTTTGTCATGATGATACTGCCCCACAGCATGAGGCCGCTGCTGCTGTTCCTGGTTTCCCAGATGGCCATCCTCATTCTGTTCATCCATATATACAACCTCAACTTCAACTCCCTGTCTACGAGGGAGGAGCCCAAGCCCAAGCCCATGCACGTGCTGGTCCTGTCTTCCTGGCGCTCTGGTTCTTCTTTTGTGGGGCAGCTTTTTGGGCAGCACCCGGATGTCTTCTACCTGATGGAGCCTGCCTGGCATGTCTGGATGACCTTCAAACAAAGCACCCCCTGGAGCCTGCATATGGCAGTGCGGGATCTGATACGGTCCATCTTTCTCTGTGACATGAGTGTCTTTGATGCCTACATGAAACCTGGTCCCCGAACCCAGTCCAACCTCTTCCAGTGGGAAACCAGCCGGGCTCTGTGCTCCCCGCCTGCCTGCAGCATCTTCCCGAGGGATATGATCATACCCCCTGCTCACTGCAAGCTCCTGTGCAGTAAAGAGCCCTTTGAGATGGTGGAGAAGGCCTGCCGCTCCTACAGCCACGTGGTGCTCAAGGAGGTGCGCTTCTTCAACCTGCAGGTGCTCTACCCACTGCTCAGGGACCCTTCCCTCAACCTGCACATTGTGCACCTGGTCCGGGATCCCCGGGCAATGTTCCGTTCCCGAGAACACACTGAAAAAGAACTCATGATTGACAGCAAAATTGTGATGGGACAGGAGCAGCAGAAACTCCAGGACAACGACCAACCCTACTATGTAATGCAGGTCATCTGCCAAAGCCAGCTGGAGATCTATAAGGCTGTGCAAACCTTGCCCAAAGCCCTCAGGCGACACTACCTGCTTGTGCGCTATGAGGACATCGTCCGGAACCCCCTGGCCCAGACGGCCCGAATGTATGAATATGCAGGGTTGAAATTCTTTCCCCACCTCCAGACGTGGGTGCACAACATCACTCGAGGCAAGGGCACGAGTAGTTACTCCTTCAAAACAGATTCCAGGGATGCCCTCAACACTTCCCAGGCCTGGCGCTGGTCCTTGCCTTACAGAAAGGTTTCTCAACTTCAGAAAGTCTGTGGTGATACTATGAAGTTGCTGGGCTACCATCTCGTCGGATCTGAGCAAGAGCAGAGAAACCTGTCGCTGGATCTTCTGTCTACCTGGACCCCTTGAGGAGGCTCTGTGTCCACTTGGCACCAGCCTCACCCACATTAACTGAAGGCTGCTTCTGAACCTTAATTATGTCTCTGCTGGTATACATGTGAGCACCGGCTGTTCCCAAACATGTCAAGCCAAGACTTTGTAGCTCTATTAAGGTCTAGAAAAGAGACTCAGTAGCCCTCTGTGAGTGGCACCTTCCACTACAGAAAAAGGAGTACTGCCATCTTCTCTTCCCAGCCCTCCTATCTGTGTATACCTCAGAGACTTTGTGGCCTGGGGTCCTATTTGGCACCACACAGTATCAGTGGAGTAAATCCATGTCAGTATCGTGCCCATTGGGAAAGGGAAGAGTCAGAAAAACTCAGGGAAATGGGTCTCCCAGCAAAGAGCCCACCAGTGTATTCCTCAGGGATGTGAACTCTGAGCCCTCTGAGCCCCTAATGGATTCAAAAAGGGAATGGGGAACAGGACTGGACACTTATCCATGAGCTTGGACATCACAGTTCTCCCTTATCACAAATATGAAATAAAATCTCTGCACAACAGAGCAATTCTCAAGTTCATGGGGTGGCTGGGCCTGATTTAGATGTCATTTCTCCTGTGTTTTCCTAATACATACAAGATTTTGACCTGTGAAGCTGTTATCTTGTTAACATTAAAATCCCCAAATGAGGTTGTTTGTAATGTCCTCTTTCATGCTTTCTAATTTTCTTAACAGTAAATGCTCATTGTTAGAGGATCTGAATCCAAGAGCATAATCACCTTCATAGATATTTTTTCTTTTGCTATTATCTATCACCCACACGTAGAAAAATTACCAAGACAGTGTTCAATGTCAGATGATAAACTAAGTCTAAACTGATCACTACTAATTGATACATTGCCCTCTTAAGAATTTGTAGAAAGCAGACAACCAGCAACAAGGCCCTTTCTTTCTTGTGTGAGGCATAAGTTGTCATAGCACCATACGCATCAGTCTAGAGCCTGGGCAAAGAGCTTTTTTCATCTGATCCCTCAGCCAGAGGACCTCCATTCTAGTATGATTGGTACTATTTAGCTCTTCCTGGTCACCTCTCCTAACGAGAATCGTTGTTTCTCCCAGTCTTTGCAACAGTCCCAGATCTAGCTGTGTATCAGAATCATCAGTTTAAAATCATTTGCCATGCCCTACCTTAGACATGGTCCTCACATCATTGGAATCTCCCAGGGCGGGGGGCTGGGGGGAAACATATATTAAAGACCTAGGTGACTTTTCCATGGCCAGCCTGGCAATAGCACAGCCTGCACTGGCACCAGCACTGCTGGCCTTCTTGCTCTCAGAAAGATGACTTTTCATGGCATGCCAGGTATCTATACTACTTAGTCCTGACACTGGTGCTGTCCTTGGGTTGGGTGACATAGAAAGAAAGTCTAAATCTGTCTGGAATTCCATGGACCTCGGAGTCCTCACTTTTAAAACATTTCACTTTGCCCAAACCCTAGAAATAATATTATTTCATCTGCCCTTGTGTTCCCACTCGCACTCTGACATGGTCCTCACACCATAAAGCTCGGATGGGCATTCTCCCACTCTATTCTGCCAAGTAGATTTTGGGCTGTATCACCACCTGAGATGCTTGAGTAGCTACCTTTGCCAGCTGGGTCTTTGAAGTTAATTTATATGGGGCTTTAAAGGAGTGAATTTATTCTAACATCCAAATCCAAGCCACTGTAAACATACCTCAAGAGCCTAGGATCTCCCAGGCAAATGTTCTTGCCTCTACCAACGTAAGACAGTGTAGCATAAAGACATGCTATATAACCCTTTAAAAAAAATCTCACCCAGTGTTGAGCAAGACTTAGTGAGCAATGGAACAGTCTCCTGTTCGTGTGTTCAGGTGGCTGACAATGGAATCTAGGGATGAGGGTGGCAGTATACCAACTGAGAGATATGGGGAGTTTGGGGAGCTGAGAACCTGTGACAAGCATAGAAGATGGTACTCTGCTAAACATGCTTTCTAATTTGGAGATATCTGTCCCATGCCCAAATCCCAGAAACAGAAAGGCATCTGTTTGCCTCCTCAGCTTATGTAGCTGCATGGGGTCTGAGGATGTTTGAACACAGGTGAGGGTTGAATTTGATCTCAATTTCTCAGGGCTAGTATTCAGATTTAGGGAACGAGCTCTCTTATGTCTATATCAAGCATAATGGACTGAACTGCCTCATTTCAGGACAGCAACTGATGTTTTCACAAAAACCATACTGGGCAACTAACTACCCTAAGCCCTTCACTTTGGGGAAAGAAAGGAGTCAAAACATTTTGATGGTTTGGGGAGGGTGAGAAAGAGATAGTTTGGAAACAAAGGGGCTTCAACTATAATTTAACTATGTTACTATGTGGCTTTATTATCTATATAATGAGAGTAATTGCTAAGTTGTTTTGTTTTATTTCTTTATTGATTTTAGAGAGAGAGGAAGGGAGAGGGAGAGAGAGATAGAAACATTGATGAGAGAAAACATCAATTGGCTGCTTCCTGCATGCCCCCCACTGGGGATTTGGCCCACAACCTGGGCATGTGCCCTGACCGGGAATCGAACCAGCGACCTCCAACCACTGAACCACAATGGCCGAGCTTGCTAAGTTTTTAAAAATGTTCATTAAAACTATTCTTTTCAACTTATAAATAATAGTTATATAGAAAGATGGGAAGGTTGAATCAACTTCTGGTCATTTCTGTGCAAAAATATGCCATTATATTGTCTGTAACATGTTTTTGAAAAAACAGTTTATAGCCTTGGCAGGGGACTCCATTGGTAGAAGCGTCATCCCATACACCAAAATGTTGTGGACTCAATTCCAGTTAGGGCATATACCTAGGTTGCGGGTTTGATCCCTGGTCTAGCAAGTGTATGGGAGGCAATTGATCGATATTTCTCTCTCACATCGATGTTTCTCTCTCTCCCTGTCTTTCTTTGTCTCTCTCTCTCTCCCTCTAAAAAATCAATAAAAATATACCTTTGGGTGAAGATTAAACTTTTTTTTAACAGTTTATAATTTACTATGTGATTTAAACCCAAGCTAAATATAAATGAATTTTACTGACTATGTACATAATCATGACTTCTATAAAATTACTTTCATAGACCAGCAAAGTAAAATTTAAAATGAATATATGTGAGAATTAATTCTATTGACTATGTACATTATCATGATTTCTACTGAATTACTTTTGCAGACCAGCAAAGCAAAATTTAAAATGAATATATGTGGCCCTGGCTGGTTTGGCTTGTGATTAGAGCATCGACCCATGGGCCAAAGAGTCATAGGTTAGGTTCCCAGTCAAGAATGCATACATGGGTTGCAGGTTCAATCCCCAGCCCTGGTCAGGGGCATGTGGGAGGAGGCCGGTCGGTGTGTCTCTCTTGCATTGATATTTCTCTCTTTCTCTCTCCCTCTCTTCCACTCTCTCTAAAGATCAATAGAGAAATGTCCTTGGGTTAGAATTAAAAGGAATAATAATAAATAAAATAAAATGAATATATGTGAGTGACATAGGCCAGTTAACAGTAAACCTCTGATAGGCATTAGTTGGGGATCCCCAACACCCTGCCTGAGGGTTGTGCCCCTCTTCTGCATAAATGTTCCCGGTCATTTAGAGAAAGGTTATTTTTTAAATGCAGTATTAAAAAAAAAACTAATGATAAATAACCAGAGTAAGGAGCTTTGAATACAGCATTTCAGTAAAAGGGTTTCTCCATTCATTTCGTACATTTAATGGACATCTACTATACACCACAGTGTGTCTTAGGAGCTTTAGATACAGCAACAAACAACAGGCAAAGCCCTTCCTTTCATGCAGCTTATTTCTGTCTGTTGGGGAGTGGCAGAACAATCAATATGTGTCAGATGGTGGTAAGTATTATGAGGAATAATAAATCAGAATAAGGAGCTAGGGAGTAAAGGGGGGTAATGCTATAAAGAGGGTGATAGGAAATGTGTTCACTGAGAAAGTGGTATTTGAGCAGAGACTCTCATTAAGCAGAGATCTGGGGGCAAAGTGCCCCAGTAAATTCCAATGTCAATATGGACAGAAACAACCAGGATCTCGTGTGCTTGGTACTATGCTGAATGTTGTGCAGAATGAAGTACAGATATTACAGGAAGGACAATATGACACAGAGGTTATGTACTCATGAGCACAAGGGCTCTGAAACTACACTGCCTAGGTGACTCTACTATTACCAGTTGGGTGACCTCAGGCAAGTTCCTTACCATCTGCATGTCTCAGTTCCCTCAACTGTCTAGTGGTAGAATAATAGCAGTACAGGTTAGAGAATGTGCTCAGCAAGCTTCTGGCACACCAACGGCACTCACTTAATGTTAGCTGTGAACATCATGCTAACAACCGGTCCTGGCTCTCAAGGACTGTCTTCCATCATTTCTAGTAACCTCCTCATTAAGGTGATGCTTAACAGTAGATTATGATCCCTTTATGGCACTGCTGATCATACTGATAATAATTAGAAGATTGATAGTTTCCTGATCTTCTAGTTTCTCTACACTGGTCGTTCTAACTGGAGGCAATTTTGCCCCACCCCCACCCCAGCCCCCACCCCAAGTGACATTTGGCAATGTTTGGAGACATTTTTGGTTGTTACATCTTGCTCCGGTTGGGTAGCAGTGTTACTGGCATCAACTGTGGAGGGGCCTGGGATGCTGCTAAACCTTCTACAATGCATAGGAAAGCTCCCTCCCCCCACCAAGAATTCTTTAGTCCACAATGTCAATCGTGCAGTTGTTGAGAAACCCTACTCTAATCAGATAATAATACATGACGGATGAAGAGCTGATGATTCAGATAGATTTCTCTTTCAATCACACTTAATATCACTCACATAGTACACTACCAGGCCTGGTGTCCTGAGTAGGAAGATGACACAACCAGGGCTCTTTTGGTCACCACTCAAGTCATCTCAAAGAGAGTGGTGGAGAAGACATTATAAAAACACAGAGCAGCATTACAGGAGTCTG